CAATCTCCTGCGCATCCTGGGAATCCTCTGCGAATCCTGGGAATCCTGGGAATCTTGGGAATCCCGGGAATCCGGAATCCGCCGTTTCCCCCTTGGGATATTCTCTTCAGCGAGATCAACACTTATGCCCACCCACACCCAGACACCATATCCTCACACCCACACCCATAAGTCGATCGTGATGATGAAACGAAAAACTTTTTGGTAAAGAAAAATCAATGTTAAATTGGTGGGGTCAAGATGTATGGATGTGGTTTTAAATTATTTTCATGCCACCCTTAGCTACACTTTCACCCAACACCCAATACCCAACCGTGATAAATGAGGTCAGAATGACGAAATCGAGGGAAAAAACCCTCCTTTTGTTAGATGTATACACAGCAAAGAAAAGCAAGTGAATGTCATGAAAAATGCGATGTCTGGCTGCAATCAGATATGAGATAAACACAGCTCGAACCAAAGCAAACGCGATAACAGAACTCACTCGCTTATATGAAACGACTTCACAACGGAGAAGATGTAAAAGAATCGGTTACTCCTTTTTACCACGTTATGTGGGGGAATGTCTAAATGTGGGTTTTATCAAAAAGCAACAGATAAATCCACCACCTCAGGTAAAAGAGGATATAGCGATAGTTTCTCGCGCATATTCTATTCTAGAGTACTACTTTATTTCATTTCATTTCATTTTTTTCCAATTTTATCTGCTGTTGTCTCGTTTTACCAGAAGTTTCGGTAACAGACAATTCTATTTGAGATTCATGTTCATTTTATTTTATTTTAAGTAATAGTACCATGCAGCTCCAATGATGATGAATTAGACATGGTTGTCGATGACGAGGCTTTTTTTATATCACAATCAATTTTAATTGTATTGACAATGATATTGAATCGGAATCGTCTATCCTTAGTAGCAATATAAAATAGTGTTGTACTTTCTATTAATTAAGTTGAGGTTAATACGATATGTGTATTCAAGAAATTCTTAAGGGCATAAATACGATTGTGATTCTTCTTTTCAACGACAACCATAAACATATGTAAACCCAGAAGAGCAATACTTGAGTATAACTGGAGACGTCTTTTGATATCTTTTTTTTTTCTTCATGTTAATATCGTGGAGAGTTTACTGTTTTTCTTCCTATGTAAAAGACGTAAAAAAAGCCCAGTTTCTTTACTGTCGATGATAAGATAAAAAGAATCTTGATATTAGAAGACACAGAAAATAAGTCAATTCTTTCATAAGAAAAGTTCGTTACAATACAAATATTATTACTATATTCATTGACTATTACTTATTGAGGGTGTGGATGGCTATGAGTGTTAAAAAAGATAAAACCAACACACACACACTCACACCCTCATTAAACTATTTTGATTTTCGAAATGAGAAATCTTGTGTACTTGATTTCTGTCTGACTTCCATAATCGAATTCCAGCATCATTCGATGAAATCTTAACCGAACATTTTGTCGATTCAAATCCTATACAAGAACACGAGCTCTAACACATTCAGCGATTTGATGAGTAGCCGACAGAGTTCTTGCGCGCACTTCCAGCTTGAGTGAAGTTGTTTCCAAATTATTTCATCAAACTCATAGACAAACAAAGAATTAGGAAAACTTGCACACGAAATACTGTGCAAAGGATGTGGGGTGTGGGTGTTGGCTTTATTTTTTGTAACACCCATAGCCACCGACACTCTCATTAATATCAAACATGTGTTAAACATTTTTCTTTTCTAGATTCGAAATTATTCATTTTTATTGTCGCTAATAAATCATTATGGCAACAGATTTTACAGTTATAGTTGAAAACGTGATCACGTGTCCAGTTTGTCTGAAACACTTTGATCAGCCACGCATACTGGAATGCCAACATACTTTTTGTTTTCGTTGCATTCAACAAATGGCTTTGCAAAACAATGGTCAGTTTGTATGTCCAAAACGGGATGGTACAAAAGTCGAAGGAAATGATATAGAAGCATTAATTCCAAATGAAGCTGTGCATCAACTTGTACAACTCTTTGGTTAGTTGAACGATTCTTCCTATTAGCAGGTTTTACTAAACTCTCAATAAAAAGAATAATACACTTTTTACTGTTGATTTCAGTCATTTGAATATTGATCTACATAAAACTTATGTAATAGTTACTGAGCTTGAAGCGTTGTTCTATGAGAATACTATTTGAATTGAATTGCTTTACAAGGATCTTGAGAAAGGTCATCTGCAATTCTTTGCTAGAGAAAAAAGATTATTTTAATTACAATTTAAACTATCAGTATCTGAATGCATCGATGCTATTTCATCAATTTTTACTATAATCTTTTACTTTAGATCATCCTGAATTAACTGCACCAATGTGCCATAGATGTAATGTTAATAAAGCTGAGCATTGGTGCGATAGTGATTGTAAACATTGTTATTGTTCCAAGTGTTGGGACACTATCCATGAAGTAGATCACTATCGAAATCATAGCAAATTTCCTGTTAAGGACAGACCAAGTGAAGTATCCAAATGTCAAGAAGATCATGATGATACGGTTCAATATTGGTGTGAAGGATGTTCAAAAGAGATTTGCAACAACTGTCAACAAGTCAAGCACAAAGATCATAAAGTCGTCTTAATTACTGGCGATGTTAAACCTTTAGAGGAAGAGGTTCGTATAAAACTTAACAATTTTTTAAATATAATTTGTATTAAAAACATTTACTATGATAAATCATCATTTTTTTTTAGTGCAAAACAGGTTTACAGGCAGTTCAATTATCTCTGAACTATCGGTCGAATCGTGTGGAAAATATGGTAACAGAAATTGAAAGAGAAACTGAGTCGAATAAAGCAAAGGTTACTGAGACCATAACTTCTCTTCGTCAAATCATCGACAAACATGAACAGGATTTACTGGAAAACATTGAAAAGGTCGAAAATGAGGAGAAGAAGAAGACAGTGAACTATAAACGTCAATTACAAGGCGAACAACAACAGTTGATCGAACAAATATTCAATTTCGTAATTACTTGTCAGGACAAACATCCGAAAAAACGATTCGAAGCTAAGAAAGTATTTGATGATTATATACAAAGGGCTCAATTGAAGTTATTGGAACTGAAGCCATTACCAAGAAATAAATATCATATTGGAGATTTCAATGATAAAATAAGGGAAATCGAAGCTCAACTCCGAAATTTCAAAGTGGAAAAGGCTCCAGCACATGAAAACAAAAAAGTTCAGGATCGTATTAAAGATAGTCCGGACAAGTCAATACTTGATTTAAGTTCATTGGAGCTAAATGATAAGGATATGGAAATTGTGGCAACAGAATTAGAAATCAATAGAGTAAGACATAATTGTTTCTTTTCATCATTTTGAAGAATTATATTTCACGATATACTAGAAAAACGTCATATTTCGATAAGAAGTAGAATTCTTTGAGATTCCTAAGAAAAAATCTAAATGTTCTAAACTATTTTCTTCACATGCTAAAATAATTTTATCTTGAACATTTATCGTTTATTTTATATATCACTGTATTTTTATTGAATTTGAAAAAAAATTATCATATTCGATGCACATCATCGAATTTTCTTATTTGATAATTTTGTTAATTCGGTAAATATTTGTTATCAAAGTCGATATTAAATGAATATGTGTAATGAATTTCAACTGAAATCTTCTTAAGTTAAAATATTTTCATGAACGAATTTTTTAACAAGACTCTAAAAACAGATTATGTAGTTTGTGATTCTGATTATATTGTCATTTAAATGAATTATATATATAAACATCAACAGATAAATATGTTGTTTTTTCTTTCAAAAATCATTTGATTATTGTCATAATCAATTTTCATTGACATTTATCTTTTTCTAATAGTCAATTTCAATAGTTTACTAAGATATAATTTAAATAATAGTAAAATCTATATCTAAATATTTTAAAATTTATATTATATTAATTGGTAACAATCAACTTGTAATTTCTTTTGTATTTTATGAAAGAAAAGTTTATGATATCATTCGAAAATAAATCAAATGAACGAATAAGTTATTGAATATAATCTTCTATTAAGGAGTACAACTGTTCTATAGTGTGATTTTAAATCTATTCCTTTTCATTATTGTGTTATCATATTTTATTTTCAATACAGACACTAAAAAAACTTCAATTATATACAAATAAAATCAGTGATATTGGTGCACAACATCTGGCCGATGCATTAAGAACAAATACAGTAAGATATTGATTTCTCTAAAAATTGATCTTCATCATATCAAAAAAAAAAACAATTGTAAGTGTTGATAAACAACAAGAAGATCAAAGATTATCTATCAGAATTTTATTTCATTTAACTGAAATTATCAGTAAGGTTGTTACGAATATCAACAAGTTTTAACAAATTCGAATTTGTCTTCGACGATAAAACATTTTAGTATAAATGTTTATTTATCCTAAGAATGAATTCAAAGCGATTCTATGTGTTAACAGTTTTAGTGAATATTTCGAAGATCAATATTTCAATTGTTTATACTTTTATCTTAAAAATATATATTAATAGACACGATAAAGTCAGTCTTTTTTTTTCAAAAATGAAGATATTGAATTTCTATATAAATTCAAAATTATAAATAATCATTGAAATGAATAATTAATGTTGTAAATTCGAGAAACAAAAAACAAAATCGAATTTTGAAGTTCGCTTTGATTGAAATTGAATTAGAAGCAATTATTAAGAAATTGATATTCGAAACATTCATGATGAACTCTAATACATTGAATACCATTGAATTTATTTCTGTAAGACATACTTAAATACATTCTCAATTATCAAAAATTGAGTAGAATTCATTTATTTCAAGTTTTTTTTTTTTGAGATAAAATATCGAGTAGTTCAGAATAAATTCTCTCATAGATCAAGTTTTTTTTTTCTTCAATTTTAATAACTTTTATTGCTCAGAATGTAAATGAATTGAAGAC